CCCAATGCTCCTGTGATCTCTTCCAATAGCATGCCCAACCACTTTCATCACCAAATTCAACTGCCTAAAAATAGCTGCTAGTGCCATTTCAGACTCCCTAGGATATGCAATAAGTCTGCATGGGCCCAGTAGGTATGATGCAGGACCTAAGGGAGACCAGAGCAGCAGTGGGCAGCAAGATATGTTGCAGTATCTAAAATGGCACTTGAAATCTATGTTTAAAGTGACTAAATCCCACTACAAGAATTGGATTTTTTGCTCTGGAGAGCAAACACTTCGTTTCCTTAGAAACACGCTTCACATCTGAAGCACGTCTTACGGGTTACATGCCCTTTTAAAGGCTTGCCACCCAATTTTTACAGAAGATCTGTGCTTTTTCAAAACTAATGAATCACCTCTCTAGAAAAGGTTGAAATGCCAGCTTTGACACACATGTGGCAAAGCAAAGTCTAGCAGAGCAGAAAAGCAAGTCCTCTTGGTTCAGTGACCAGATGCTGTCCCATCTCACCAGGATCTCTTTTTTAGTTATGTGCTGCACAATCATGCATAAGTCTGGGATATACAACCCAGATCTTGGGAAACTTCTGGTCTATATCCTTAAGCTAGCTTCCTTCTTGTTTTTGTCGAAAGCATATCAATTGCAAAACACTTTTTATTATTTTAAGCTTACCTAATAAAAAGCGACGTTTCTAGATCTGAAGCCTCCTAATTGTCACTCCAAAACATAGTAAGTTGGCAGACAAATATACAGGGATCCAAGGGACAGAATCCTAGGAAATAGGAGTACATTGGAGTGTTGCTATTAGTTACTAATTATCATTCTCATAGGAACTACAGAAAAAAAAATCTCATCAAAATCTGTGTGTTTCAGGACTGCAGTGAGGGCACACTGCTCAGCAGCAGCTTGTTGCAACACTAACATCTTCTGAGATAGTTGCAACCGTGAGCAAAGCAATATTGCTGTGCGGGAATCTTGTCTGGTATAAAAATATTTAAGGATGGAAACAGACACAGAGGAGGAAGCAGAAATCCTAATGATCCTCCCATCTCCCTGCCCTCTAAAAAGTTCAAGTCTCAGAATTCAAATTTCCAGCATTCTTACGTGAAAAGCAGTGGGGTGTTTGGGGAGGGGGGTGTTTGGAGGGGGGTGTAGGGCTCTATCTGTGGGTGTGGGTGGGGGGAACAAAGTTACAAGAAAAGCACAGAGACACAAAGAGAATCCACATAGCAGAAATCTAAAAGAAAGACCAAGAACAAAGACATCCAATTACCTTCAAATGAAATAGAATAGTAAAATCAATTTTCAACCAGATTCATCTCACTGGTCACAGGTAATGTATTATTCAATTTAGGATCCTTTAAAATCATTTTTCAAAGCATCAGTACTTTGGCTCGGCACAGCAGCAAAAAGGCCTGATTTTTCCAGTCACATACAGCTACAAACCTCCCTTTTTTGCTGACTTGCATGGACTTCATCAGCACATTAACTTGCCTACAAGATCAGGGCCCAAGTTTCTACTTCAGCATGAGATGGAGAGTATGATTAATTTACAAAGTAGGCAGGATGAGATACCAGTTGCAAAAATAGCCAGGAAAATATAAGTAAATAAACATAATGACTTCTGCTTGGAATGGAGAAGAGAATCGCTGTGTTCACAACACGTTTCCAATTTTCT